TAGAGATTTGTCGATCAAGGTATTTTGATAGCAATTTAATACCTGCAGCATATTCCACGAATTTATCGAAACTCGCAATGTAAACTGTAGGAACATGCTCCACGATACAGTGCTATGGGTCGAATCAAGTACATCAATTCAATTCAGTCTTGCGTATTTTCTGCTATTTGAAAGATGGTTGGTTAAACGGAGAATATTTACTGATATATAGCAAATTATACACATAAATACTTCAACCGAAGAACCTATTCGGTTTATCCTTATAATTGGAGAAGCTTTTGAGCTGGAAACCAAATTTGAATGATTTAAGTTATTGATTCTGATTTCATTGCATTAGTTTGTTCCTCTTCTAATCATATTCTTCGTTATCTTTTGGATGAACGCCAAGAGCGTTCACATACTTTTGGCTCACTGTAGCCCTCTTTTTAGAAGAAACTCTGCTCTGTTACAGTTGGAATCGTTGGTGTCTATTATGCTCGTGCTGTTTTTTTATTTTATTTTCTTATTTTCAACTCCAATAATTACGCTTGTTTAGCGTTATATACAAGATATAAAATGCCGCGGTCAGGAAAAATAATCCTTAAGAATCTTCATCAAGCTGGCGAACAATATACTCATACTTCATGCACGATTAAGTTTTTTTGCATTTCTAATTTTTGCAAAATTTATTGCTTCTTATTGGCGCCAAAAGTCCTTCTTTTGGCAGTTTCTATAAATCTGTCTTATTCATTACCCTTTTCTTACTTTTCCCTTACGTTGAAGGAGTAAATGAATTTACATGGAAGAAAGAGCAATGGGTTGCTGGATGATATGGATATTTCCAATTTATTGTAATAGTGCCCCAATTAATGAGGTCACTACACCGAAAAAAAAGGATGCTGATTTAACATTCTGGGTGTAAAAAATTGTGCAACTACTCATAAAACGGTGAATAAGGCGCCACAGCAGTTAGTTTTATATTTTGACATAGCTAAAGTAACTGCTGTAGTGGTCAATTCAGCATTTTGTGAGTTGTCGCACACTTTTATACATCCAGAATGTAAAATCAGCATCATTTTTTTCTCGGTGTAAACCAAGTGTTGTGTTACTACCCCAACTTGTGTTCTAGTTGAAACTAAAACTAAAATGAAAAGTGTTGGGGCTTTTTCTAGGGGTATTGTCCAAAGGAGCAGGGAAGCAGTACATTAGCGCGAGGAATGAGGGGTGATTTACGTAAAATCGAGTGGAGAAATGAAAGATTAAAATGTTTGGCAACAAAGGTAAATAAAATATATAAAATAAGTGATATTTTGAGTTACTATAAGGGGAAAGATCTCAGGATGGAAGGTGGGGAGATGTGCTGGAAACGCCATCTGGCATACCATTGGCTAACTATACGAGTTTGGACTTCTTATTTGGTGAGGATATGATGGTTCAGCTTTCTCGTAAATAATTTATTTCAGGAATGTATCTGCGGTAACTCAATTTGCTTAGGATTTAAGGACGTCTTCTGTGCTTTCGTTAAGCTAACGATTCCTTGGTGAGGCGATTCAAGGAGCTTCGTTGAAAATGGAATGTAGGAATGCCAGAGGAATGTCGGAGGGAGGGCCAACTTGTAAACTGCGTACGCCATACGATTAGCCCTTACTGAGTTCCTCTCCAAAAAGCCAGTGGTGGGATGTAAAACAGGCTGCAGGGTGAAACACACTCCGAATTTCACTCCAAAAATCGAAGTTTACTTCTCATGATAGGAAAATGCTCTGTTAAACAATTCCGTGTTTGCGATTGCTCTGAGTTACTTTTTTAGGGGTCAGATCAATCAAAAGAATCGACCAAAACTGTAGGTTACTCCGAGACATACCGGGATAAAAAAAGTGTCCTACTGAACTATGAACTCTTTTTCCTCTCGATATCAAACAGATATTGTAACTTGCGAGTAGCTAAACACATCGAAGTGTCATCGATGCACGTTCAATCCCGGCGTCTTGCGACTGATTTTTAGCGAGGTTGCAAATTTTCGACTCAAAAATGTGGTCAATGTAACAAAAAAAATCTAGCCAAAGAATATTAACCACACAATCGGGTTACTTTGTATACTACTTCCCATGTTAACACACAATGTCGCTTACTACTTCTAAGTGTAGCATCGGAGTAACTTCTTGCTCGCGGCGTAAGAATTAAAAACTCCTTCAATTGTTCGCATATGCAATCCGGACAACCATCGAGCATGAATAGTCGCATGTTGCGCCTAACCTAAGAAATGCATGATCGAGGATCGAATAGAGATCCATTTCCTTATAACATCATTTCTCGAGTTGCTACTCTCTCCGGCACATCGTAGGGCATAATATCATACATCATTCGCACGATTTGGTCTGCACAACAATAAATTTGGTTTTGGTGACCGTGCTAGTTTCCATATAAACACCGAATATTGGCTACTTGTTTTAGGACACAAGTTGGTTGATTGTATGATCAGTCCATGGAGATGTCGCTCCTCTGATTGTAGTGGGAAAACTTTGCATGGACGAAGCCATGCTATCACCTTTGACTGATCATACAATCACTCAATTTGTGTCTATTTGGCTAGTGTGTTTAACCCATTTGATCTTTGTACTTTTTCTTACCGCATTAGACCAATAAATAGGGGTTCCCACAGAGACCAAAGTTTTCTCATACTTCCCCAGGATTTATTCTGTAAAAACTATCAATTTTAATTTCATTTTTTCGCCAACTTTGTAGAGTGCATTCGAATTTTTAATTCCAAAAGAGTTCTTAATGTTATATCAGCTGGTCGATGAAAGCTTCTTTCTTATTATTATTTAAAATTCAATTTATCATTTAGGATTTCAATAATGGCGGCTCCGGTCCAATAACATAAACTTGAATAACAACAGGCACTTAATTTAAAACTTCCACAAACTTTGAAAACAAAATGGACTGCATTTTGCAATTTGGAGCTATAATTCTAACTCACTTGAAAAATCACTTATGAGCATAGGGAAACTAATGGCATATACGTTGTTTTTAAACCGGGCCAGAATTTATAGTTCCAAATTGCAAAATGCAGTCCAAATGATCTTCAGGCGGCAGAGGAAAAGATTTCTGGTTTCAGGAACAGATTTCCTGATTTTTCCCTAGAATTTTTCTTCTACTGATATGAATCTCGGGGTTTGCCGGTTATTGCCGGTCCTACACACCACACTGAAAACCCAAGTTTTTTCCCTGGACCCGGCAACGCGTCGGATTTTTCCTGGGAAGCTGAAACTGACTCGAAACTGGAGCTAATTTCCTTGGGACAAGACAGAACGGAAACAAACGGTTCCTTCTGGCGGGGGCCCGGCCGGAAGTTAACAAGGCGTAATGACGGACCAAGCAAATGAAGCGTGGCGTAAGCGAAGCTCGGGCCGGGGAGATCGGATCGTAGCTCCGGGACCGGTAATGAAATAAAAGAATACCTCGCGAGCCGGGAACCTCCGCGGAGGCCTACACCTCTGCGCGTCCGCCTCCACGCCGGGCCCGGATCCCGCTAATCGAGTGAGCTCCGCTCGTAATTGGAAAACAAACAATCAGAACTGTAATTAAATCAACGAGTAAGTGGCGGGAGGAGGAGGGGGGAGGGGGGGTGAAATCTCCAATTAATGCTTGCGCACTTGATCCGAGCTTTGAAGGCGGCCGACGCGAATCGCTAGAACGCACCGACTTCCGTAACAAGATTTTCGAGTGGAGTTTCTGCCGAGAGAGAAACGTCGTATGAGACCGGGGATGTTGCCGAGGTTTCTTTGAGCTTGGTATGGCCTTGTCTCCACGAGCCGTTTCACGAGATTTGTCCCAGGGAAAAATCCCACTTACGAAGTTGGGAGAAATATTGAGTTAATCAATATTTTTCCCAGTACCGAGTATGGTACTTGTACCCCTAGGATCCACTGAGAGAAGAAGAAGAGGTGTAAACGAACTGTGCGATATTTTATTCATTACTACATTGTTGATGTTTGTTTAGTTAAAAAATGAGTCTTATTGTCAATTGAGTGCAATTATTATTTTAATCCCGGTTAAATACTCGACTTTAACTAATTTATCTTCCCGCGCAAATTAGTCGCAGGACTATGAGCCCCGTCCCGTGGAGACGGTAACTGGGAAAAATCCATGAAGTTTCATTCCTGCGATTCGAACTTGCGACAAATCCCATGAAAACGTCCCGTGGAGACAAGGCCTTAGGCGGATTAACATCGCGGGGGTTTGAAAAATTGTGCCTAGCATTCTTGACTATACTCATTTTCTGATAAGGAACCGTAGTTTTCATTATAAATGAGGAAAAATATCTAGTTTGTCGGCCTTCTGTAGTGTAGTGGTTGTAGCGCTTGCCCTATGATCAGGAGGTCCCGGGCTCCATTCCCGGCAAGGTGACCCGAGTTTGATGGTCTCGAACAACGGTTACCTGGGGCTGGCTTAATTAGGGATGGAGCGGGTTTGGACTCCGGGGAAACATGGTTCAGCGCAGGATTATCCCTCGTGGGATATTTGGATTGCATTTTGCAAAAAGGAATCAGGAGCGTTGCAATATTGCTGAGATTGTGCAACTTCTAATGTCTTGGAAGAAAAACCTGATTCTACATTGGCACTTTCTATTTTACTCGCTAAAAACTGTAAATTTAAGACAAAAATAACCAGGTAAATGTAATTTTTTTCGTGTTTTCAGTAATTTTAATGCAAAGGATAAAGTTGCACAATCTTAGCATCATTGCAATGCTTCTGGTTCTTTTTGCAAAATGCAATCAATTTGAAGTGTAAAAAAAAAGTTTATTTTCATACTTTTACAGACAGCTTTCTCCTCTGTTAATGAAGTAACATATGTACAATTCTGAAACCCTAGGATTGAGAATAGCCCTTCTGAGTTCCCTTCATCCTAAGTTCTGGTATTGTTAACCAAAAAGTCCGTAAAATTCCGACGGTTCCTTTCATTCTAGACTTTTAGCTAATGACAAACAATTAATCCTCTCAATTGAGTACAAATGACTCACCAATGATAGTAAGGTTGACTTTTGAGTTTCTGGTCGGCGAATTGCTGAAGTCAACCCTGCATTTATAGAGGCCCTCGTCTCGAACGGTGAGCTTGTCCAGGATCAGATGCGCCGGAACAGCCTCCGGTCGGAATTTCACGCGCCGGTAAAAATCCGGAGATGCCGACCAGGATTTCGGCTTCAGGTACTGTCCTCCGCGCACGTCATAACTGTAACAAACAGAGCAGAATTTAAGAAAATTGAAGCGTGGCAAGTAGCAAAATTTTGAGTGGATGTACGTTTATAACTGACGCTTTGGGGTATCTTTCATTTTTATCTCGGAAATACTAATTATTCGCAATTTCATTCTCATCGGACCCTTAAAGCCCCACAAAAGTCCTAGAGGTGGAGGGCATACCGATCGGGGACCGGCACAAACACGGTAATACTCTCCTTGTGAAGGTACTCCTGTGTAGCGATCCATTAAGGGTCGGAAAATCACACTTGCGGACTCCTCACGTTATCCGCTCTCGCGATCAAATTCAAACGCCTTCAGTTTTTAAAATATGCAATCAGGATCATCGTGGAGTTAAAATAGTTGCTCATGCAGCGCCTTCAATTTCAATCTGGACGGCAGTTGTCTGTTAAGAACAGGCTTAGGGGAATGAGCATCAAAGCATTACAAAGCATGTTCCTTCGTTAAAAACTCAGGGAAAACACGTGAATATGTAAAACTATTTCCAAATGGACTCCAAATATTATAGACTATCATTCATATATTTTTTAGTTTTAACTCAAATTTTTTTGTCAAAAGGAATTTGATCTTCATTTTGATTGATCTTCGTTCGGTAAATGACTAAAGTTGGGTTTAAGAAACTTCCTTCCCCCTTACACAGACTTTATAAACTCGTTAAAAATAAAATATACCACACTCAAAAACAATTCATGTTACACTGAAAAAAACACACATTGGATCTAGAGTCCAGACTCTTGAAAACATTGACAAGAAAAAATACTCTTGATTCAATCGGATTTTTGCTTGAATCAAAACAAAATCCGCTTAAATTAAGAGGCTTGGTTCTTGATTTAACCTAGATTCTGATTGAATTAAGAGTACTTTTTCTTGTCGATGTTTTTTAGAGTCTGGACTCTGGATCCAATGTGTTTTTTTTCCAGTGTATAGACCTCGCACTGAAAATCCAAGCAATGTAATTATACGAGGCAAAAGTTCCTTTTTTGAAAAATGACGATTGATGAGCAACTTGCCAAGCGTAAGATTTACCAAATGATGTCTAAAGAATATCGGCGTAGGCACTTTACCAGGCGAGTTTTTGCAAATCAAGTTGGGTTTGCTATTTGCTTAACGCTTAGGACATCACTGATCACCAGGCAAATCTCAGGATTGGCCTCCGAAACTTCCTTTTACACCATGTAGGGAATATAGCTATGTAGAGCCTCTTAAAAACTCTGACACCGCAGTGAGTAGATGCGTAGTGTGTACTATGAAAATAACAAAAGGGAAGGAACGGGAAAAAAGGCTAAAAATACAATACTAAAAAATCGAGACATTTCGACTCAAAACTGAGTAATTTTCAATCGGAAAATAAATAAAAAATTAAAACATATCGATGAAAAACCCCAAGACAAATTACTAACATGTAGGTCTCGGGGTTTTTCATCGATATTTTTAAACTTTTAATTTATTTTTCGACTGAAAATTACGCAGTTTTGAGTCGAAATGTCTCAGGATTTTAGTGTTGTATTATTAGCCTTATTTACCGTTTTCCCCCTTGTTTTTTTCATGTTACCATTGTCTCCAGCTGCTTCAAAAAAATTTGTATGTAAGAAGATACGTTGAGTATTCTGTCTGGATAATCAACGGGAACCAATTGTTGAGCGATGGAATTCGGGGAGCGGACGAGGCGTGCCGAACGACACCATCGATCTACCTGTCGGGCACAGACGCGACTTCCGGGTCGTTTAACCAAACACGGCTCAAATTAGGCGCCAAGCCAAAAAGTTGACCCGAGCGTCAAACCCGTGAATTATGTATCAATCTCGTAAGCTCGCAGGATGTCCTCCTCCCCACCCCACCCCCTCCCCCGCCTCTCCGGCGAGCACCGTGGAGCTCTCAGGCATGACTCGGCGAAACTTCCCGGGAACTTTCCCAGCACTTCCGTCTGGTCGGTGATAAGCCAATCGAGCTTAAGGTGGATTCCTCCTTCTTAATGATTTGACGTGCCAACATAGGGCGCTCTAACTCCATGGAAATTGATTACGATCCCTGTTTTCCTACAGCTCCGCGACTGTTAAGTCCCTCCGAATAAGAACTTTATTGCGTTCTAAGAGCAACTATGAGAGGATCTATGTAGAGGAAGTTGTGCCGTTTCTGTGCCGCTTTTTAATTGGTTCACCAGTCATAATCATACTGTCGTATTTCTTAATTTCTGAGTTCTTTCATAAGGACGTATAATATGATTCACACTGTGATTAAAGAAGGTACTAGGGGATCCTCAGCACCGCACCCTAAAATGGAAAATCTCAAGTAAAATTCTAAATAATGGCTTTGGAAATCATCGGCGGAGCCAGCGAATTGGCAACATTGTTTTTTCTCCATTTAAACCTATAGAAATGTATCGATTCTCGAAGAGGGCAATTTCTCCGACAAGAATCGATTATTCATCACAGTTTTAAATGGAGCAAAGCCAGTGGTGCCAAATCGCTGGATCCGCTTCTATCGGAAATAGATCCTTGCAAGGGATCATATGGACTAGTCCTTGCGAAAACAAAAGGCACGGAAAAAAATTCTATGATTTTGACGAACTTTTAAAGTAGGGAAGAACCAACTTCGTCGCCCGAATGGCAAGATCACGAAGCAGAGGAGCAGGTTGGCTTTAGAGCGGACAGGTCTACAATGAATCACGTGTTTGTTATTGTCTAGGTCATAGAAAAGAAAATTGCCGAATCTCAAGAGCTGCGTCTAATTTTTATGGATCTTCAGATGGCGCATGACAGTGTGCCTTCGGTTAAACTTTAAGAAGCCTTGAAAAAATCACATTTTGACGGGGTGGGGTTGATTGACGCTGACAAGCGATTTTATAAAGGGGTTTTTACTAAAATCAACTGTCATGGGGAAGTGTTACGGGTTTTTATGTTACAAAGGGTTTAAAACAGGCATGTGGTTTGCCGTCAACATTATTTAAAATTTATATCTTGAGTATGTGCTATAAGATTGGAAGAGAAAATGGACGTATTTCTGCCAAACGGAACTATGTGCATTATGACATGAGCCCTGAGACCCATAAGAATTTATCCATAACAGGGCTCACGTCATAATGCATATAGTTCCGTTTGGCAAAAATACGTCAAAATGTGCTCAGATGGGTGTTCTTGTCCCTTTGGGTGACTATGAAACTTTGTTCACTCTTTGCTTTGCTGATGACCAATAGTAGTAATTGCACAGGATCAAGATGACGCCAAGTATATGATACGTAAGTTGGTAAAGGAGTATCGAAGGAGGGGTTTGGAAGTCAGTGCATACGAAGCTGAGAAACTGACTTAGGAGGTGATCAGTAGAGCATTGGGTTGGAAGATGGGCAACAGATCAAAGGTTACGCGGATTATAAGTGCTTGGGGATGCGGTTGACCCAGGGTTAAAAAACGGATCAAGTTACCAAGGAAAGAAAAATGCTAAAGAGGGAGGCTATAGCGATGATAAATGGAATCCTCTGGGATCAGCGAATATCCAGAGAGAACAAGAGGAGACTTTACGAAGTTGCAGTCTTACATATGGATGTGAAGTTTGGCAGCTGAAGGAACGGACACAGGGTATGCTAGGAGCAGCGGAGATGGATTTCTGGACGAGGTCGGTAGAAATTCCTGGGAGAGACTTACGAAGAGACTAAGACTTAAAGTATATTCAAGGAATTTTCAAGTTGTCGTAAACCCTGTCTCAATTGACTCGTAACGCGCCTTCAAAGAGATGTTAGGCAACCCCGCTACACACTGCAAGAGCAAACACCCAAGTTTATCTACGAATTGTTACTGGAGACTCGGCTCCAAACCGCGTCTCGCAACAAATCTCGATTTAAGACTCCCCTTTCCCCTCGCGCCCGAATCTTTCAGCCCCTCGTAACTCCCCACCCACACCGATATAAATTAGCATTACCATTCAACAGATACCATTAAAATATTTGATAAAACTTAGCCCCAACCTCTCCTCCGCATCCCTGCTTCATTTCATTCGAACATGTGCATCAAAACTTGTGCGAAAGATGCACTGGAGCCGGATTGCCAAATTGAATAAATATTGAACAATTTCTAATGAGGCACGGATTGGAAGGGTGGACTTTATAGCACATTATGGCAATCCACCTCGTATGCTATCAAAAGTTTCCGCACTTGAAGCGTGTCGGCGGCGTGTAGCTTTGAAAGCGAGGTAGACATTGCGAACTCCTCTCCCCTTTTGGGGCCAAAAATCTCCTTGAAGTTTATTGAAATCTGGGTTGCCAAATTTGGATAGTCATTCTGAGGAGATACATGGAAGGTGATAATATTGATTTATATTGGATGTTTGGCGCATTTCAGCAAAGCTGCAGTCAACTTTACATTTTTCCATATACATTAATCAATTTTAATGTATTTTTTTCTATTAAAAAAAAATTCCCCTCTCTATTGAGGCAAAGAACAGCCTTGAAATTGTTGAAATCAAGTTTGCCCAGTTAGCACCACCTCTTTGAAGAGATGCTGGATAACTGATCTCCATTCGCTCATGTTTTCGCCCCCTTTATAGAGCAACAAATAGAAACAAATTAATGAATTAAATTAATTTGTTTGACATGATGGCTTACTTACAGTGCAGATTCACTTTCAATTTTCAACCTTACAAATTTTTTGCAATACTCGGCTTGACCCCTTTTTCAAGTATATATCAGGCACCCCTTAAAAACACCCCCACCCATCTTTCCTAGAGCCTTGACGTCATTTATGGACAGCCGTTGAGAGGGAACTCCAATGAGGGAAAAAAGCTGATTAAAGAGCGACTCTCAATACGGCCCATAGTTTGTGAGAATGCGTCCATTTATACCAATGCTGGAAAGAAAGAGTTGATGGCATTGAGCCCCCAAGAGCATTGTTCGATGTTAAATTTAAAGCACCGAGCCAGTTCTCTCAAGGTTTGCTCAAAGGGTGTCTCAAAAGTTCCTGAGCTGCAATCCCAGAAAAAAATAAT